CGCTGCCCGCTGACCTCAGTGCGCACCTCACAGGCCAGCAGCCCCAGCAGCCCGGAGCGCCCCCACAGCAGGACTACACGAAGGCCTGGGAGGAGTACTACAAGAAGCAGGGTGAGTCGTGGGGCCGTGGGGGGCAGAGCCAGGTGCGGCCTCACAGCAGCCACACTCACCCACCCTCTGCCCCCTCACAGCTCAAGTGGCCACCGGAGGGGGTCCGGGAGCACCCCCAGGCTCTCAGCCAGACTACAGCGCCGCCTGGGCTGAATATTACAGACAGCAAGCCGCTTACTACGGACAGACTCCAGGTCCTGGTGGCCCCCAGCCTCCACCCACACAGCAGGGACAGCAGCAGGCAAGTGGGAATTGCCACCCTCCTCCTCCTCCTTTTTCCTTCCAACCCCCGGCTACCGTCCATCCTGCCTTAGTGGGTAGCGCCGGAAATCCCTTCCCCTGCGGGGTGTGTCCTTGATGCCTGCAGCGGGGCCGTGTGGCCAGAGGTCTCCGGGAGTCCCCACGAGCCGGGGGAAGTGTGCGCTGGGTCCAGAGGTTAAACGAAGAGGCCTCCCTCCGCCGGCCTGCTTGTTCCTGTGTAACGCTGTCGTGACGCTGGGGGAGAGCTCGAAACAAATAAAGGAGGAACTGTTGAACTGGTGGGTAGTCCTGGGGGGGAAGGCCGTCCGCTCAGACGTTGGTCGCCATCCTGGCTGCTAACTCTCTCACTCAAAATCTGGCCACTAGGGAAGAAAACGGATATTTTTTCTCCTGTCTACATTACTTTTAAGGGTTTTGTTCTTTTTATTCTTTTATTTTTAAACCCACGATCTTTCCCCGCGTGTCCACGTGACTGTGTGTGCTGCAAGTGGCCCGGTGCGGGCCGGCTGTGGCTCGGGCAGGGACGCAGGGAGCCTTCCGAGGGCCCGGCCCTCCCACTCCGCCTGGGCTTGGCCTCCTCTGCTCCGGCGTCCGCCTCCGTGTCCCGGTCTTGTCTGTGAAGTGGGCATGACGATCGCTGCCACCTTCCAACCTACCTCACAGGGGTGTTGTGGGGACACCGTGGTCTCTGATTGTTGATGTTGTGATGCGCCGGAGCCGCCGCCTTTCTGGAGACAGAGGGGCCCACCCCCCCTCCCCGTCCCCGACCGTGGCGCCGTCCTTCCCTCCCGTCCGCCCGCCCCGACCCCCGCCACCTCTCCTCCCCTCCTCTCTCTTCGTTCT